AAAGTCACATCTCTGTGTAGAACGCATGAAAATATTATTTGAATGATCTTTAATCAGTGAACTGATAATCTTTATCATAAGTATATGCTATGTGTTTGTTTGTATCTGAACTTCAAGCTTGATTCGCTCATTCCCTTTTCACGGGATAATTATCTGTTATGAAATAACTTTACTCAAATTAACTTGAGATTCGATATGTACACACTTCCAACTATTCCATGTGTATATTGCATTAACCATGAGTAAAAACAGTTTTAAATTTTTGCATTTTGCACCTCTCCTACTTTGTATTGCAGCTATTGCGCAGCGTTTTCCTTTTGCAAAACATAAGCCTGGAGAGGATACTTAATCTATGAACAGCATCATTTTTCTGGATAACAGTTGTGGTGTTCTGTGGATTACAATGTATCACCATGAAAAAAAATGAACAATGAATAAATGGAAGGTTATGAAAACATGTTCAGCAAATAAAGTTTGTATTTCCCCTCACCACACACATCCACAAAAACAGGAAGTGAAACTAGAATGAAACCTGCCTGTGAGCAAAGGGGAATAGACACACATGATGTCTGTTACTGTACATGTAAAACTGTTTTCTTTTCAAAAAATCATGGAGAACAAGTTAACATTACTTCTTTCAGTTTATTTTGTTGTTAACACTGCTCACTGTTCAATACTCAGTAACACTTTATGGTAAGGTTACATTAATCATCATGAATTCATGCATGACTTAATGCATGAAAAAGCATGAATTCATTCATGTAGTACTCATGAGCTATCAGTAATGTAAAATGATTAATAGTATCTCATGCATGACTTAATGCAGAAACAATACCTTAATTAATGCATCAACTAAGGTATCTCAATCATCATGACTTCTGAGTTATTAATGATGTTCATGTCTTCTTCATATGTAGATCTGCAGTTAAAGTGACAGGCCAAACAACTGACCAGTCACAGCAATTCCAAGTGTTGTAATCATGATTAACTAAGCATTATTTTGTCATTACTTCATCATGTTTGTGCCCCTTCAAATAAAGTGGTGACCTGTTCCGTATAACTCATATATACGGAACAGGTCACTCAGAAGTCATGATGATTGAGATACCTTAGTTGATGCATTAATTAAGGTATTGTTCCTGCATGAGATACTATTAATCATTTTACATTACTGATAGTTCATGAAGTACAAATACATGCATGAATTCATGATGATTCATGTACCCTTACCATAAAGTGTTACCCACTACTCATGTCGTATGACATCTATCTGAGAAATCCAATAATGAGAGTGTCGTCTGATGCTATAACAAATCTATTAAAGTAAAAATAAAAAAGGTAAAGTTTCTCTTTGTAATCTCAAGAGAGCGTGAGATAAATGCAGAAAAACAGAACTGGAAAATGTATTCAACAAAAAATTCCAAGCTGACGCAGAGTATTTTTGAAGAGAGGAAACCCCACCCTGGTTCGAACTCCCGGTTTGAGACTGTGAGAATTGTTCGTTGTGTTTCTGTGGTAAAGCTAAACTGTAGAAGCTGTTAAAGTCAAACAGAGATGAGAAGGCGGTCTTGTCACTCTGACTTGCAGTCGCTCCACAGTTGCTTCGCTTCTGATAACATGGCCGGTAAGTTCATTTATTTGAGTTATTTCACCTTAGTTCTCTTATTATGATTATGCAGCGTACCACCAACTTTCCCCTGTTATTGAGACGTTTGAGCAATTAGGCTTTTTTAAATTATTATTGTATAGGAAAACAACATTAAGACAAGTATAGAGTATTATTAAAGGAAGATATTCTCTTTCAGAGTCAAATTGGAGAATTGTCATGCTGGGGAAAACTGGAGTTGGGAAAAGCAGCGTGGCTAACACCATATTTGGAGAAGAACTGTTCAAATTAATAGTACTGCCGATTCAGAAACAAGAAAATGTCAAGCAGAAACCAGATCTGTCCATGGAAGAAGCATCACTCTGATCGACACTCCTGGTTTATTCAACACAGATGAATCAGAGGAATTGAAGACTGAGATAAAAACATGTATCACAGAGTGCGCTCCTGGGCCCCATGCTTTTCTCATTGTGCTTGAAGTGAAGAAATTAACTGAGCAAGAACAGGCCATCATCACAAAAATAAAACAATACTTTTCTGAAGAAGGGTTGAAATACGCAACAGTTCTCTTCACTCATGGTGACCAGCTCGATGCAGGACAGAAAGTTGAGGAGGTTTTCCACAAAAATCAACCGGTGAAGGATCTGTTGAAGAAGTGTGGAGGCCGCTGCCACATCTTAGATAGTGTATTGTTAGGAGCTCTTTTTGGTGGAGCAACGATGGTTGGAGAAGCTCTCTTAATGTTGAAGAAAAATCTGTCAGAGTCGGGAACAATTAAATCTTTAGCCAACAAAGCAGTAAAAGCACCTGCAGTGATAGGAGCAGCAGCAGCAGGAGGTGCAGTGGTAGCAGTAGGTGTGATGGCAGCAGTAGCTGTTGGTAGGGGAGCAGGGAAAGGAGGTGTTGCAGGGTATCAAGCAACGGTCTGCAGAGTGACAAACCCTCAAAGTACACCCTGTAGCGAGTAAAGCCGTAACACAGAAAATACCTGTCTATGCTGTCCCAAAACGCCTCGTTCGGAAATTAAATGTGTCACTTAAAAAGTCACATCTGCATGTAATTGCATGGAAATCTTCTTCCAAATTCCCCTTTAATTATTGAGCTGATAATGTTTATTCATAAGTAACATGTCATAGGTTTTACTTGTGTGTGCTTCGAGCTTAAGTAGCTTATTTCTGTTCACAGAATTATTATACTCACATTAAATTCAGACTGGAGGTAGTTTGTACAGACATGCCTGATCCTTACCAGTTTATATTTTATTATGCATAGTGAAAAACTGTTTTGCCATATTGTATTATGCAACTTTGATACTTGTGATAAAAATAGAGTTGTATTTTACATTATCGTAACCACTGAGTGTCCGTTTGAGGAGTTGTGTAGTGTAAATACTGTCAATTATATAATACTTTATATTATATACAAACCACATATATGCATTGCGTTGTTTATAAATAGGAAACAGGTAAATGCAATTTAATTTAAAATAATGTTTTTGAGTCTAGGCCTATACTGTTGTTGCTGTATTTGTGTTTCCTGTTGAAACATTGCTTACTGTTTCCTGTTGCAAGA